GAGGGCGCGTAGGAATGTTTCTAAGGATATGGAATCTTATATTTGTGTAAAATTTAAAAACACCGATACTAAGAGCTAATCTGAAACCTTTAGGTTGAGTACGCTGTATGCCCCGAGTCGCCGTGAAAAAAGCGAAGAGGGTCGCGCTCCAATAGGGCAACGGATAGAAATTAATTTTCGTTCTTCAGCACCCAAAAATTCAAGGGTCGTTTTAAAAATGGCACCACATAACCGACACGAGATGCAAATTTAACATACACTCAATATGTATGGTTTCCTTATGTCTGTTTTCACGGAATCAGTCACTGTTGAATGTTTGAGGGGAAGAGGGGAGGTGCTTGTTAGTTTTAAAAGATACCCAGTACGTAAAAATAGCCACTACCCACCCGTGCAATGATTGTCTTAGTAACTACGTAAAAATTGACGTTTAATGACTTCAGTTAAGTCTCTTCGTAGACATAATACACTGCGCTCCACGGTGTCCGATTCTTAACTTAGTGCCTAAAGTACAAGTAGTCTGTATTACGTTGCGCTGACACAGCTTGCTGCGAATTTATGCTATCCAACATTGATTAACCGGCAAATTTGCCTTGGCTGTGGTGAAAAGTTATATTATTGTATAGCGTTAGAACTTAGGTTGACTGTAGTCAACTTCTTCTACCCTGTGGGGTACGAGGGGGAATCACCTTGATCTGACGCTTGGGTAAAAGGAAAACTGTAGGAAAATTCCGTACAAAACAAAGCTAATCAAAACAAGAGAGGAAAGAGGAACATTTTCGGTTAGTGACCGAGTAGCTTTGCTATATCTGTCATATGATGTAATTTCTTCACACAATGATCTTTTCGATATCACCATGGGATAAAACCAGTCATAAGTAATATTTATATCTCAATTACGTTGTGGACTTGCTTTTTTAAGTGTATTTCCGTCGCAATTGCCAATATAGTGTATTGCCATCGCTTAAAGGTACATACGAACCGAGCATCGGTGGAGTGTGGATTCCCAGTAACACATGTAAACCACTTCTACTAGATTCTTATATGGCTCTAATAAATTCGACATGCCAAGGGATAAACTGAATAGATCACTCGATCAGCCATAAAAGACCTTTAGACTGCTCCTTTCTTTAAATTTATGGTTGTAAATTTAACCTACTTCCGTGACTTTGTATGCACCTTTAAGCCAACTTCCTCTTTCCATTGTACATAGCCTGTAGTAATGTCCATTGGCATATTGCATCCGTTACAACTAATGGAATTACTGTGCCCTGTTGAAGAATTAAATTATAACACACGGAGTGAAAATTAACCAAGCCATTAGGGTTTAGGCAAATGAATAAAACTGGTGTTTCATAGCATAAACCTGAAGAGGATGTTTTAAGTTTGAAGCTCTCATTTTTGGAAATTATGAAAATGTGTTAGGGTCCAGTAAAATATTTAAGTCTTGTCCCTGTCTCACTGGAAAATTCCGTATTCTGTCTCTTGAATGTACAGAGGTATATTAAAGAAAAGGGGGTATGTTTGAGGGCCCATGTTTGAAACACGTTCCCTGTCCAAGTTTTGCTTTAAGACCTGTCCAGTAAAAACGACCTTTAAGTGTATGACCTCACTAAGGTCCTCCGGCAGCACATTTAAAGTGGTTTGTTTAAATTTGATATTCAGCTATTAAGCGGCCCTTTTTTTTACCCCTAAGAAACTGATACTGAGGTGTCTATTCGGTGCACTTTTAATGCAGTTTCGTTAGACGTAATTTGGGTGGTCCATAGTTATGGTTGAGTCACAGTTGTGTTTCTGTTCCAGCAAGTAGTCGTTGTTTTGTGTCTTAATTTGGGGTTTTTCAGTAAGTAACACTCGGAGCCATTAGACACGTGACCCAGGTGTTCCCTGTCTCCGATTATTAGAAACTGCTCGGACGTCTTTTTTGACCGTTTGCAGAAAATAAAACGAGAAATACATGTAACGTGTACAGATGATTAACTCAGATGTGGTTATCCACTCCACAGGTTAATCGAGCACACTTGGGAAAGCTCCTAGATATATACTTTTTTATTAATGCTCCGTATGAGTCATTGCAAAGGAAAAGGGTATGGGAATATTTTTTTTTCTAAAAGGAATCTCCCATTGTGTTAGTTGAGATGTTCAACGCAATTGCTCCCAAATGGTTGCGCCACACGGGCCAAAACACACCAAGACGTGCAGACAGGCTATCAGTCAGTTGCACAGCTGACCGGCTACACAAACTTGACGGTTAGACTCAGCTGATTTTAAGCGCTAATGCATGATGAATATAAGAGAGCGTGTAACAACAGGGCACTAATAAATTTGTTTTTAATACAGTACGGTTGTGGACGGTGTGGTGCACATGCATGACATAGAGTCATCAGCGTGCCATGGATTACAGTTGCAGTTACAACGCTAAAACAACCGAAAACAATTTCCACATTGTCAAATTCATGTTCTTCATCACAACGCGCACGCAGAAACGCGTGCATACAATTGTCTACGCGACAATAATAAGATAATAACTAATAATCAAAGATGCCGTTTTGCATGTATGTTACTTTTAATTGAAGTTGGCACACAAAAAGTAATTTCACTACATGGAAAAACAGGTTTGGTGTTTGTGGCGTGATGGCATGGGCTTATTTTTTTGTTTATGGGAAGGGAACTTTAGTTTTTTGGGGGGGGTTTGGGGTGGGGGG